ACAACTTTTAGTTTTTAATTTATTTTAGTAAGTTGTCTTAATTTTTAAACTAATGGACCCTCAAATTTTTGTGGCTTCATACTTGGGATACTCTTTGAAAGCTGGCAGCATTAACAGTTTATATATCGAAAAATTTTTAAGATTACATTTTTGCCATATCGCCCAGCCCAGTGACCACATAAGTTAGATGAGACTTCCAGTCATAACATTTTGGTACCAGCCACAAAAGTTGGATGTCCTGTCTTACACAATTCTTTTAAACACATCATATTCTTTGCATGCACACTTGAGTCTCTTTGCACAGGTGGAAAACCACATGAGCTGACACAATCTCCCTCCCACTATAATATACAATAAGAAGGCAATAAGAAGAATAAATGAATAAAATGTACTTAGGAAAAGTATACTGAAAAGTATACTGAAATAATAAAAGTGTAAAGTGTAACGATCTACAGCTGTCAGAAGTTTACATACACTTAGGATGAAGTCATTAAAACTGATTTTTTTTTTTAACCACTCCACAGATGTCATGTTACCAGGCTCATTCTGACAAGTCGGTTAGGACATGTACTTTATGCACAACACAAGTAATTTGCCTTTAAACAGGCCTCTTTTTTTCCTGTTTTTTCACCTCATTTATCAACACCAAAGCTGTTACTGGGGTTTTTATTGACCTTAGTATAAGTTTGGGTAAATTGCGTTCTGTTTTCTTATCTGTCAGAATGACAGACAGCCTTCAGATACTTCCGTCATATTAAAAAAAAATCTGTCAATGACAGAAAATATTTGAGTATTGTAACCTCTGGTAAAATATTTTCAGATGTACAAACACAGAAGTGAAAAAGATCTAATTAAAATGATTTCATAAACTAGAGTTTAATGATACAATAAGGGAAATTCACATCTCACAACATTTTAACTTTCATAATAAATCGCTCAATTTGATCACTGGTTTTGTGTGTGTGAGCCAACAACACTGAGAGAACACAGAGCAGTACAGTTGATTGTAAATTCATTATTTTTTCCAGGCCTAATTTTTGCTGTTGCATAATTGATTTCACATACATGTTTTTGAGCCTTTTGTTAGTATTTTTAGTGATTTAGTGATTC